ACAAAATTGTGCATCAGCTTTCGGAGGTTATAACGTGGTTTTCCATGACATATTTCGGTCCAACGTGCAAACGGGTTGGTGTTGTTCAAAAGGGGCGTATTTCATTGTGTTTGCAATTTAGATTCTATCAGCGTCTGGGAAGTGTATCCCAATAGAATTGCAATGCAATGCGTTGTGCATGCATGTGTAGTGGGCACGTGACGACAGAGACGGTTGAAGTAGAGGCAACACGTATTTATTACAGCTTCACACTCAAAGAGGTAACAGCCTCTTCACCCGCTACTCTCAGGGGAGGTATTCCCACTCTGACTCGACTACTCTCAAGGGACTACCTGACCTGGCGCAGCCAAGGCACAGGTCTCGACCACCAGCCACACGAAGCCGGCCCTTACAAAGACATCGGCTTCGAGGCTCTGGGTCGCACCACTGGCTTGCTCTGCCCGGTCCTTAGAAGGACAGTGGGTCAAAGAAGTCCCAGGGTCTAGCTAGCTGGACTTCGGTCTTCAGCTGGTTCTTCGTCTTCGGCTTGTCCCAACTGACTTCTCTCTCTCAGGGTCTCGCCTTTTATACAATTCCCCACCGAGGGGCGGGGTTCTGTGGGATCACACACATCCCCCAGCCCCCTCCCCCCAAGAGGGGTCCCGGCTAGGGATATCACAACCGCCCCGCACAGATAAGTAATGGCAGTTAACTGGAGCTGGTGTGTGCGCGTTTCAATACCACCACCACACATGTACCCTCGTCTTGGGATTCCACCAAGGAGCATAACAAGTTGAAAGGTGCAGCCCTGAAATCACTCGCTCATGCCACTGCTAGCGGAAAGGCTTCCACTCGAGGGAGCTCTAAAGAGCCCCACTATAGTGGTTATATGGCCTATTATTTCACACTGACCAGGCGTCTTGGAGGAGGTGGGAGTATCCCACACGTTTCCCCACCACACAATGTGGTGTGCTCATCTTGGCGGAGGGATTTAAGGAACGTGTGCATTATTTCAACTGCCCTCCAAGGAGATGAAATTCGAACTGGCAGCCTTTGGATAGCAAGTCCAGTATGCTGACCATGACACCACGGCAGTATTCCTACCAGATTTTCTCACCAATATTGCAAGCCATTACTATAGGTAATTTTAATGCTTTGAATACTTACTGTATTATATGAAAATATTTTTTTTTACGAATGGACTACAGTATTTATTTGATTCTCATTATCAATTGTTACCATATACATTCATTGCGCTCATTGTTTTATTTTATTTTAGTAACCCATGTTAAATACACGTTAATGTTGTATAAATCGTAATAACATCATGATGAAGACTGTTGACTTAATTAAAAATTAGTTGTATGATTGCTAATTATGCAAGTTGTTTCAAAACTACCACGATTCCCAATGACTGAATTAAGCTAAGAACAATGACTGGGCTACATTAATTTGATCCGACTCTATCCGAATGGGTTACCCTGGAAATATGTCCAGGACAGCTCTCGCCATGGATATGCACACGAGTCACGTGTCTGCTGCAGTCTACCAGCGACCCGGGAAATCTATCAGTGAGAAATTACTGTAATTCACACCAAGTCTCAAGGATTACCCTTGAGTCTCAAGTATTACCCTTGATACAATGTTGAGTGTATCACAGCCGTGCATTAGGTTTGCATGTTGTTTGTTTTTATTTACTTGTTTAAATAAAAAAACTCAATTAGCACTGGCAGCAGCTGTCAATGGTTCAGGTTCTCGTGTTAAGGGTCGGCTCAAAAAAGTGTTGTCATTGCTCACAGTCACAGCCTCGCTGTGAGAGAACAGCAGGGAAACGAATCACAACGATTCAAAATTATTTGTTACATTTAATACTGGTAGGAACCTCCTTGGTTACACCAGCCCACAGGGGATTATTGTGTTCGTCGTGCAGGGAGGGGCTGGGTGGGGAGGGAGGGATTGGGTGGGGAGGGGAGGGGCTGGGTGGGGAAAGGAGGGTGGGGAGGGGCTGGGTGGGGCTGGGTGGGGAGTGGGAGGGATGGGGCTGGGTGGGGAGGGGCTGGTCCCCCCGTGATGCCCTTATAAAACTCAACGTTTAACCTACTCACGCCGGCTTGTGCCCGCCCTCACAGTCGGGCATATTTGCGGAATACACCACGCCGCCGTTGACCTTGGCCATTGACCGAGCAACCCAACGTTCCTACCAGCTCCCTCCGCAGGAATGTGTTTTACTCGGAGTGCATTTACTGAGTGGTTCACATGAGCCTATTGCTGCTACGTAAACTAATTCAGTAACCGGACCCCTCTTCTCCAAAAGTAGACTCGTCTTTGCCTGCTGTGTGAGAGTTTAACGTTTCTGTGCATCTACTAACACGAGTTTCCCTCTTAGTTTCTTGGGGTTTGCCTCAGTTTCTTGTATACTTATATTTCCCAACGATTTTTAGTGTGGTGGTGGGGGGGGGGAGTCTTACGGATTTAACCCTTTGGGCTTGATATGTATAGTGCTGTGTATGCAATTGTGTTCGCTCATGACCGAGCTGAATGTAAAATTCTTTACGTGTGAATTTTATTTGAAACAATGGGGGGAGGGGGGGGTGGAAGCCTAGAATTACAATCCCAGAATCCCTAGTGGTGGTGGCTCAGCAAAAATCAATTCTGTTGTAAAAAGTGAAAAGGCTATCAGCAGCTTACTAAGCGATACCACGAGAATATCAAGTACGACGATAATCGTTTGTGAAAAAATATATATATACATATACTTGTTTGGATATATCCAGGCCGGTGGCCAGTCCATTAGCAAATGAACACCACTTTCTAGGAAGTCAGCAGTACAATATAAAACAACACAATTTGTAATTATTATCATTTATCATCATCAGCCATAATCAATCTACTGCTGTATGAAGGCCCCAGGCCGCATCCACCTCTCATGATCCTACGTAAGTTGCATTTAGGGAGGTATTATTTGTTATTATTAAGTAAAAAATTTAGTCGGTAGATTTCGGGGTGGTGGTGTCGGTACTGACAATTTTGGCCAAAAGCTACAAATGTTATATATTCTGATTACAATTTGTGGACGAATTCATATTTTGTTGTCAGGGAATAAACACAGTAAATAGAATGTAGCTGAACAACATATCATGTCCTGTGGTGGACGATGCACTCTATAATATTGGCTTGGGCAGGAAGCGTCCATGGCTCGAGATAATTGACGGTGGTGAAGAATCATATTGGCTTGGGCAGGAAGCGTCCATGGCTCGAGATAATTGACGGTGGTGAAGAATCATAACAGAGTGGCAGTTAAAAGCGAGAACGCGTCCAAGAGTTCTTCTACCTACCGGGTAAGATAGAGCAATGCAATCAGCACGTGTGTGCAGGTGCTAGAGGTGGGTTATTACGTTTCGGGATCGTGAGAGGCGGCGAACAGCTTGGGAAGGTCTTCATCCTGACGATGATCGTGAGAGATGATGACGACTTAGGGAGACAATCATCCAGGAGTGAATGGACCATGGCTGCTGATGATTATTGAGACCGTGAAAGGTGACAGTCACTTGGGGAGGCCTTCATGCAGCAGTGGATGGACCACGGCTGCTGATGATTATTGAGACCGTGAAAGGTGACAGTCACTTGGGGAGACCTTCATCCAGCAGTGGATGGACCACGGCTGCTGATGATTATTGAGACCGTGAAAGAAGACAGTCACTTTGGGAGCCCTTCATCCAGCAGTGGATGGACCACGGCTGCTGATGATTACTGAGACCATGAAAGAAGACAGTCACTTTGGGAAAAAATCATCCAGCAGTGGATGGGTCACGGGTGCTGATGATTATTGAGACCATGAAAGAAGACAGTCACTTTGGGAAAAAATCATCCAGCAGTGGATGGGCCACGGCTGCTGATGAGTATTCAGACCGTGAAAGGTGACAGTCACTTGGGGAAAACTTCATGCAGCAGTGGGTGGACCACGGCTGCTGCTGATTATTGAGACCATGAAAGGTGGCAGTCACTTTGGGAAAACTTCATGCAGCAGTGGATGGGCCACGGCTGCTGATGATTATTGAGACCGTGAAAGGTGACAGTCACTTGGGGAGAAAATCATCCAGCAGTGGATGGACCACGGCTGCTGATGATTATTGAGACCGTGAAAGAAGACAGTCACTTTGGGAAAAAAATCATCCAGCAGTGGATGGGCCACGGCTGCTGATGATTATTGAGACCGTGAAAGGTGACAGTCACTTTGGGAGCCCTTCATCCAGCAGTGGATGGGCCACGGCTGCTGGTGATCATTATTGAGACCGTGAAAGATGACAATCACTTTGGGAAAAAATCATCCAGCAGTGGATGGACCACGGCTGCTGATGATTATTGAGACCGTGAAAGGTGACAGTCACTTGGGGAGACCTTCATCCAGCAGTGGATGGACCACGGCTGCTGCTGATTATTGAGACCATGAAAGGTGACAGTCACTTTGGGAAAAAAATCATCCAGCAGTGGATGGACCACGGCTGCTGATGATTATTGAGACCGTGAAAGATGACAGTCACTTTGGGAAAAAATCATCCAGCAGTGGATGGGCCACGGCTGCTGATGATTATTGAGACCGTGAAAGATGACAGTCACTTTGGGAAAAAATCATCCAGCAGTGGATGGGCCACGGCTGCTGATGATTATTGAGACCGTGAAAGATGACAGTCACTTTGGGAAAAAATCATCCAGCAGTGGATGGGCCACGGCTGCTGATGATCATTGAGACCATGAAAGGTGACAGTCACTTTGGGAGAAAATCATCCAACCATGGCTGCTGATCATTATTGAGACCGTGAAAGGTGACAGTCACTTGGGGAGCCCTTCATCCAGCAGTGGATGGACCACGGCTGCTGCTGCTGATGATGACACATTGTAAACACGATGTGAAATCAGCTGTCCCCCCCCCACCACGCAAGCTATATATATAAGTACCGTACTGAACCGCGCCGCGTGCGCACCGCGCTGGTCGTTACGGTAACGCAGCGGGCCAGGTTCGTATTGCACGAATGGACACACACCACGGCACGTCTAATTTATACTGCCAAAACGTGCACTTTTAAGTTACAAAAAACACACCTCGACGCAAACTGCATTCGTTCGCGAGGCTCGCTGGGAGGGAGTGCTCCTGCGAAACGCATATTTTGTCGTTGCTGTAAACGCGTAACGCAACATTGTTTTATTGCAAAGTTAAATACACTTCGAGGCGTGTAAATGGTGCAGTGCAGTGGACGTATTCGCACAGTCAGCAGCAGCAGCAGCGGCAGCGCTGCACCGTCATAGCCGTATCTCGATTGAAGTCAGTCAAGTCTTGTCTAAAATATAGGCAGGACTTAAAAACATTATCGTAGCAAGGCTAAACAATTGTCAACGCCGTTAGTGCACTGCAGTGTACGCGTTTCACCAATGTCGTAGTACTCGCCGGACGCGCGGTTTGCTGCAAGGCCGCGCTTGTACTCTATCACGATTGTCTCATATTTATAGCGAACACACGCGGGTGGGAGTCGTCTGATCGTCGTTAACACCGTCAATCAATACACTTTAAATTGTTGCTACATTGGAGAAGGTCACCAGCGATGTTGTCGTGGCTCAGAAGGCTCGCGAGCGCGGCCGCGGGCTCTACGCTCCGTACCGGTGCTCGGATAGTGGCGCTGCCGGGTCGGGTGGCGCCTTCCCCGGCCGAGGCGGCAACGCTCGCCGGTGCCTCCCGGCCCGCGCCCGGGGGCAGTAAGGAGGCGAGAACACAGCGGTGGGTCACGGCCTCTCGCTTTTTGCACCTTTAATGTGGTCGACACTTCACGTCGGGATGCCCGAAAGTCATTGTCGTTAGCCGCGGGTCAGTTTCCACTGCTGGATGAAGGTTTCTCCTCCCCCCGGGGAGTTGTTGTTTTTAGGTATTCCGCGATGATGTCAAGCTCGGAGAGCCCTGCCCAAAAGCATCTCTAGGATTCTACTAGAGTCCACTGGCAATGTTAAGCCAAGGAGAACGTTACTTGAAACGTCTCGATAATCATCGAGGTTGCCTCACGTGTGTATGTGGAGCTTCTTTCGCACCGTACGTAGCCAACCGCGCGAACGGGAGGTGCGGGAGCTAAGGACGACGCATTGAACAACAACAAAGGCAGTTCTTAAGCTGGCAATATGAACATTCTGCCATTACCACCGAGAAGACAATCACCCAGGAGATTGAGCGACTCAATCAGATCGAGTGCAAGGCGCTAGGGGGTGGGGGAGTGGATCGTTATATCGGCGTTAAGCGATGTTTTAATCTAGCAGTGGATTGATCATGGCCGATGGTGTTGTCAGACGCTCAGAGAGCTAAAGTCCCCAGGATGTGTTAATTGCACGTTGTTGAACTTCTTTAGCACCGTACGTTGCCAACCGGACTAATGTGGCTGTGTAAGCATCGGGCAATAACAACTCAAAGAATCATAAATGTGCCCTAATCTGACTGGGCCTCTGGCAATAACACTAAACCATTAACACATCCTAGAGATACCTTTGTATATGACTTGTTGAGTTTCTGGCATTATTAACACACAACCCTTGAGAATCGTTAAAAAAAAAGTGTGTTATCCACTTTTCATCAAACATTTATTCAAGTGAAATTGACCAAACATCCCAAATGCAGGACGCACCTCGCGTATTTTTTTTCCGCATTAAAATTTAACTTTCGATACATGGGTGAGGATCAAAGTTACAGATCACATTTGCAAATGTGGTTGTATTGAGCACTTTAAAACAGGCCGCAGGTTGTCCACCCATAGCTCGAGGTTAACTTAAATGAGTATCTGGTGCAGGGCGTAAATTCCAGTACTCGGGAGACAAAGGTGGTTGGAAGGGCATTGTGCTGTTTACGCCACCACCTTGTATGCTGCTGTTGTGACCTTAATAACTGTTAAGTGATGGCACTTTTCCCAAACAGACTTTGACGACTAAATGTGGATCTTTTCCTTGGTATGGGAGTGTATGTGTGCGTATAATAAGCGCGTCTGTTTTTATGTGTGTCAGCAACGCGTAGATAAATAAGAATATGTCATAATCTCATGTTATACCATATTTGTTCCTTCAGGTGCATTGCCTTACATTCCATCCCCAAAAGTTGTCATAAATTACAATAATGTGCCCGTCCCCCCCCCCCCCCCCATTCTTGTCTTACTTAAAATTTTGGATATTTTTTCTGATTTGTGTTTTCCTTGTTGCTCGTTCTTCATGGATATTTGTTCGAGGTACAATAAAATGCTGACGCAGAACAGTAATAGTACATATGCCATACTAATTAGCCGTAAGTGCATCATTGAATATAAATGAGAGTGTAGGGGTGACCCAATTAAGTAAAAAAACACAATTGTCACTTAGCATAATTGCTGATTCCTTGTGGAGTTAACCTGCTTGTATAGTCAAGGGCCCCGTACACAGGGCACTCATATAAAAGGTGCAGTTATATTTAATAACATAGTAGTTATAATTGTTAGTCTACAAGTGGCTATGTTTTAATGGATATTTAAATCTCCACCATTGTGCTTGGGGTTGGACTCGTGGCACAACTGTTAAGCGCACTGCACTGTTAACCATGTGATGGGAGTTTGATTCCTAGCCACGGTTAACAGTGTTGAGTGATATATGAACAAGTCCTGGGTTCCCTCCTTCACAATATCCACATACTGACCAACACGGTCAGGAATGGTCAAATAACTAACACATCCTGTATATCCCTATAATACTGCAATGATATATTTTGGAAAGCATCCTCTTTTTTAGCATTTGTAAAGAATGTTTGCCAACTTAATTAGGCAAGGAAAACACTGCATGGCAGTTATCACGCTAACGATTAGGACTAATAAGTATGTATTAGTGTAATCACCCATTGAGAGCCTAGACTATAAACATGTGTAGGGTGTGCAGTGTGTTAAAAAATATATTTGTACTCGATGGTTGGGAAATAAAAAGTGATTTGCAGGCAAATTCCAGCGCTAGCTCTATTCAAGTGCCATTGAGGTCTCGACAAGCTTCAGCTACTACGAGAGGGTGAGCCTTTAGTAAAGTTAAAACGAAGGCCAAACAAACCGAAATGCAATCGAAGTACAGTCAAATATAATACAGTACATGAATATTTTGCATTGCTGTGAATGGTGATCACAAGATTGTAATTCATTGTTGCGTGTGTTTCAGTCTTAACTGTGTTTAGAGTTTATGTTGTTGGGTACATGCCCTTCTGTGATGCTATTTTCTCTTGCTGTCACGCGTTTTTTTCTTCAAATAGAATGAGTGAAGGGAAAGCGAAAGGGCAACTTTTTAGTGTGACTTGGTTCATTTGATCTGATAAGAAAAGTAATCTTCCAATGTCACTTGCATCTTTAATAAAGCATGATTTTATATCACTAAAAGAGTAGTACATCGGGTTCTTTTGATAGTGTAATGACAGGGTGCCACCTGTCAGCCTGAAGGGGTAATTGCGGTTATGGGCATGTTACATAATGTCTAATTATGAGGGGGGCGTATCTAGGGTAAAGGTGAAAGGCGGAGTCAGTTGGGAATCTCCGGGAACCTGCTCGAAGGTTCTGGAAGGGGGCGTGACCAGAGGCAGGGCTTGGCCGCGCCGGGGTGTATTTCAGAGGGACCAAACCAGAGGTTCGGTGCTGTTGCGGATCCTGGGTCCTGGCTGTGTCGCTGCTCGCCGTCATCTCTCTTCATCGTCTGGCCACTTGGCCGATCTTCTGCAAGGCTCTCATCGTCGCTGCACTAGTCAGACAGCTGTGTAGTTGGACGCTGACGATGGGGTTGTGTAGAAGGGTCAGCTATGTGTAGCTATGTAGAACGTTACATAGATGTATCTCCCAGGATTGTGCTTAAAGTGTGAGAATATATAAGAAGCCCTCTACACGAAGTGTCTTGGAAGTCGCTCACTACAATAGCAAGCATTTACTGGATGGATGGCAGCAAGACATTCTCATGGAAAATCATCTGGGAACCTTTGAAATAAGAACTCTGCAATAGCAATTGAATTGCCAACGTGATGAGTATTGCATTTTCCAAGCACGTTTGCGGCTGGCATTTTCTGCTTCGGTAGACTGCAGTGCCCAGCAGCACACTTTGTCACATGCGCTCTTTTTTATTCTGTCTCAATACCTTTGCCCAATGAGCTGGCGATGCCGTGTGGCCCACAGGAATCAGCGCCCGAGCCTTCTGAGGGGCATGGCGACGGGCGGCGCGCACACCTCCGCAGGCTCCCCCCCGCGGCACAGCAATCGGCTGGCGCTGGAGAAGTCTCCGTACTTGCAGCAGCACGCGCACAACCCCGTCGACTGGTGAGGTCATCGTCAGCACCGATCTATTTCTTATTTTACACGGCTTCAAGAAGATTAGTACTGCACCGCACTGCAGGTTTTTTTTCTATTATTGATGAAGAGCCCTTTACAAAGCACTAGCGATCGGGGAAAAAGGGGTGCAATTATTCGGCAGACGATAGACCGAGGCCAGGTGCCCATGGGTAGGGGGAGGGAAGGGCGATTGGGCTCACTGCCCTGCTCACGTAGGGATAATGCTCAGGAACGTGGTGATTTTAGAGAAGAAGCGGAAAGGGGGGTGGGGGGGGAAAATGAGCTGTAGTTCTTGAAATGCTTCCTGGGCAAAAAAAAGGTAATAATAAAACGTATCATTAGATATGATTGATCCACTGCTGGCTGAAAGCCTCCCCAAGCCATTTTCATTCCTCACAATCTCATGATGCAGAAATCCTTGGAGCTCGTACCCACGAGTTGATTTAATCACTCCAACTTCACAGTCGACTTTGTTTTGATGGTTTTCAATTTTGACTTCCACTCCATCGTAGTTCTCGACCATCGACCATCATCCCTTCTCGTGACGTTTCCTGCCCAAGCCGACTTAAAGCCCACTTACTTTTCTTTAACCATTGCTTTTGGAGCACTAGACCAATGATTTGGCGCAATCTGTTTACCCTAATTGTATTGCTTTGTACAGCACTTTTTAAAACTTATTCAATGAAATGCACAATGTAAAAATGTATTAGAATTATTTAATATGCATATGTTTTCTGATGCATGCGTTTTCTGTCTCTGCATGTAATTCAAAGCGCACACCTCTACACGCGTCTTTGTGCACTTTTCATTTTTTGTTTAATTTTGTCTATCATTGTCTGTCTCAGATCTGCGTGTCATCACAGGCCAACTAAGCATGCTTGGATTTGTTGATAGATGGACATAGATCGATTTACAGAAAGATCTCTCTATACAGTTTGTACGTGTTGGACCTTATAATTGCCATTGATGTCATCGTTCATGCTGCTAGATTATACCAAGAGATTGGTGAGTCAACATTTGGCAGTGGCCTCGCAGCGGAAGACTCATAATTAACACGTACACAGCGCACCACGTGCATGTTATCGTCTGGCCCTCGATCTCTCCGTAAGACACGAATACACAAATCGGTATCTTCGTAAAACACACAATTTAACACATTCATGGATGGCTAAATGTTCAATCAGCATCCATCTATCTGAAATGTATGTCCCACCAGACTAAAACGTTGTCAGAAATGGATGCTTTTAAATAATAAATATGCCAATAAATCATTTTGACAGAGGTGTTCGCTTTTGAGGAAAGATTCTTAAATGCCTAATCATCACACTTGTATTCGTGCTTTCATGTGTGTTGTTAAGTGCCTTTAGTTACTTATATTAATAAACAATGAAGCATTCATTGTGTTCGCTGTCCATCAGGTATCCCTGGGGAGAGGAAGCCTTTGAAAAGGCACGCACAGAAGACAAGCCCATATTCCTTTCGGGTAAGCAGCGGTTAACCCCCGTCACGTTTGGCTGTGTGTTTTATTTCTGAAACTGCTGCCCTTGGCACAAAAGAGGGCCTTTTTGCACTCACACGTCACAGTTTGGGAATGAGCCTCAGGGCATTATGGGAATGACCCAGTACCTCGAAATTATTGTTTTTTCACGGGTCTTTCCATTTCAGTGATGAGGAAATATAATAAAGGACTCATGCGTAATATCTTTAAATGAAGTATTGCACCAATTTATTTTACAAGATCTGTGTGAATGGCCATCGGGTACAATAATTGGCAGCTCAGCCTTGCCTTACCACATACTTTATTGCATAGCTCAGTTTAATAGTGATGGGAGAGATGGTCTATCCAGATATTTTATCTATAACTTGATGGATTTAGACTGGTAATGTTTTTTTAGCTGCGTCTCACAGTCAGCGATAGAATGGCTTTATGTGACTTGATGGTTGTGTGGGCAACGTGCTTGTCACGAAGTCAATTTATAAGGATGCCATCATTCAATTGTGTTAACTGTCTGATACATTCTGTGGAGCCATGCTGAAGTTGGTTCTGTGATGTTAAAAACTGAAACGTTGGCATTCCATGGAAACTAAACATCTAAATGGTAGATATTCATCATAAAGGTTTTTGGGTTGGATTTCGTAAGTATAAATTTCTCATAGCACTCCACCACCAGACACAGCGAATCAGGAAGAGATTTGTCATATAAACAAAACGCACCAATTAGTTACTACTTTAGCCCACCGGTGTGTTGGAGTATGACGTTTCGCTGGTAATTACATCCAGCATCATCGAGCGATTTGCCAAAGTCGAGTTCCTTTCGGGCTTTGCCACTTTGGCAAATCGCCCGATGATGCTGGATGTAATTACCAGCGAAACGTCGTACTACTCAAATTGTAAATATTGTGGATTTACTCTCTGAAACACCATTGGGCTGAAGTAGTAACTAATTGGCGTGTTTTGTTTACGTGACAAATCCTTTACTTATTGGCTGTGTCGAGTGGTGAATACTTACGCGATCTAACCCCAAAACCTTTATTATGAATAATATTGTTCGTGAAAGCCCACATGTTAAACTAAATGGTAGATAATTTTGTATGAAAAGAAAAGCAGGTAAAGGTGCAGTCCTGCAACTGCTTGCTCATGCCACTGCTGGTGGAATGGCCTGTAATTAGATGGAGCCCCAGAGAGCCCATTAAATGAGTTGGCCCAATTATTTTTGTTGCCAAATTAGAAAATTACCCACAGCAGCTCATATTCAATTCAAACACTTTGTAAAAGATGTAATGCCTTGTTGGGTCTGTCTGGAAGGTTTTATGTAAATGAAAGTTTGGTCATCTCTTGCTCAACTTGTTTGGGACCTAAAAAACTCCTCGGCTACAAAGTTTATTGCTAATATATACCGTGTTGGTCACCCAGTATATGAGCTCTAGAAAAGATGACATTCCAAAAAAATCCCTTGAGTGGAAAAATGTGTGACTTATCAATTTGCAATATGGATATGAGTCACATTGTTCAAGCCAGGCACTTATAATTAGCTCTGAAATGTTACTTGTTGTGCGTGATGAAACCAGGATATTATTCAATGGCATTCTAGTCAATCTTGATTTGAAGCTTTCGTGACTGCAGGAATCCATACTCTTTGGTTCTTTCGGTAAAGTCACGTAGGTAGAAAAAGAAAATAAGACAAAAAATAATATATCACGACGTTTTGATCGCAAACATTTAGATCGCAAACGTCGTGATATATTAATATTTTTTTCTTTTCTTTTTATACCCACATGACTTTACCGAAAGAACCAAAGAGTAGGCATTCTGGTCGTCAAAGGCATGTATAACATATTACCCATTTATACAACTTAAAATGTATCTGCAAATATGTACTTGAGTGTTTATGGTAACTGTCAGATTAGATGCACGAGTGATGTTAGCTTTCAACATTGTATAACCTGTAATTTAAATAAGATGTATATGTGTCTCACAGTTAATAGCATTGCACACAAAGGATAATGCCTTTCTGGTAAAGTTGTTCATTGGTGCGAACAAAAATTTCAATTTCTGGAAAAGAACGTGTGCATGATGTGAATGCTACTATTTATCCAAATCCTGTGTGTATGCACTGTGTATTTTTGTCAACTGTACATCCCACGTTGATATTATCAGCTAGGAATAACTAAAATAACCTTTGACACACAGTGAGGAATCTGTCTTTACCTGTCAGTTCAACTTATGTTATTGTATAAAATGATAGCGCAATCATAAAAGCAACCCTAAAGTTTGCACAGACTTGGATTTTTCAATTTGATTTTTGACAGCATCTGTAAAAATATGTTACGCATTAATCTTAGAATTTCTGCGCAATCTAAGACAAAAACTGAAAGTTAAAAAAGTTATTGTGGAGTAATTTAACGTCACTCTTGAGAAGAGGACAAACACATGAAATAAAATAATAATAAAAGTGTAAGATCTACGGCATGAAATCTTGACTTAAAGCTTTCGTGACTGCAGGAGTTAATTTTTTGCGTCTTTCGGTAAAGTCACGTACAAAAAACTACGACGTTTCGGTCGCAATACAAGCAATCATTATCAGGAGAAAAAAAAGCGGGAAAGCTGCTGAATTAGGCTGTTTTAAAGGTTTGAAATGGGTGTAGCCCAGGGGTCATAAACGAAGTGGGCGGGGCTAGGGATGTTAAAGTGAGAAATTTGCATGTAAAATTGAAGAGCAACCTCCACAACGAAGGCGCGGAGGTGGCCATTGGATTTTGAGAGATTAGTGTAATAAGAGAGCGCCATCTCGTGCATTATTGTGGGGGTTACATTTACATATTGATTCAGTCCACGTATTATCTATCTGGGGAAAGGTGAATGGGCGGATCTAGCAGGGAAGCCTTTAGAACATTCTCGAAGGTTTCAGGAGGGGCGTGGCCAGAGGCGGGGCTTAGCCTCGGAGAAGGGAATATAAGCAGGGGGTACAGCAACGTTAGAGGTCGGTGTTTGAAGATCGAAGAGGAGCTCCCCGTCGCTGCTATCCCGCCATCTCCACCTGCCACGTGGCGGCTCGACCTCCACCCGCTCATCTGCTCCATAGCGCGCCGCCAGCCAGGCGGTGCGGTAGCGAGCGGGGTGAGCGCCACGTGGCGTGGGGCAGCACAGCCACGAGAGCGGGTCGACATCCGTGGAGAGAGAGAGAGCGGCTGTACCGAAGATTTAATAAATAACTTGAAGTTACTTACTGTGTCGGAGCCACTCATTACAGTGGTGTCAGATAGTGGACTTTTTCTGGCGGTGCTCTACTGAAGACGCGATGTCCTAGCACCAGAAAAAGAAGAATCCACCTGCAGTGTCCTCCGACGATGACGAGGCGGCGACTCAGCTCCTGGCGACCCCGGGTTCCGTGGTCCCGTTTATGGAGCCCACGACAGGTGCCGATGTCGCACCTGCGGCGGACGGCGTGGCGGAGTCTTCACATCAGACTTAATTTGGAGCTTTCGTGACTGCAGGAATTACTCTTTGGTTCTTTCGGTAAAGTCACGTATAAAGATAAAATAATAAATTAAATACTAGCATACATCAGCTTCGCCCTGATGATCCATGGCGAAGGGTGGAGACGCAGCTGGGCGCTTTGACAACAGCGCTCCTCCACCTCGTCGCTCTCGTCACGCCGATCGCCGCTGGAGGTAGTCCGGTGGCGGACCGTCCGGGGGTGGACGTGCAGAGGACCGGCGACGGTGCCTCGGAGGGTCCCCCCTTGGGAAACACGGCCGCCATTCCGGGCGGGGTGGAGACGGCCGCCATTTCACAGTCCCCGCCAACCACGCGTGTCACTGCCACCATTTTGCACACCGCGGAGGAGAGCGGTGCGTCGGCCGCCAGTTCGTCACTGCCGTGAATACCCCGGCGTGGCCTCGAGGTGGCGGCGGCTCTGCGATCTTACATTGACATGCTAATCTTTCACAATACAATGGCCACCTCCGCGCCATCGTCGTGGAGGTAGCTCTCCGATCTTACATTTACATGCAAATTTCTCACTTTAACATCACTAGCCCCGCCCACTTCATTTATGACCCTTGGGCTACACCCATTTCAAACCTTCAAAACAGACTGCCTCAGCAGCTTTCCCCCTCTTTTTTTCTCCTGTTAACGATTGCTTGTGTTGCGATCGAAATGTCGTAGTTTTTCGTAAAACAATATTTTGTTATTTGTGACTTTTCCGAAAGACCCAAAGAATATGTACAGCGTTGTTGTTTTTCAGATGTGTATACATTTGGGCAAGTTACATTTCCTGGAAAGACAACTGATGAATTAAACATTTAACAAAATCGTATCCATGAGAGGGAAAACAATCAAAGATCCCAACAGAGGGGAGAGTCGGCTGTCATACCAGAATGCATGTAGGTGTCAAAGAGTGACAGCATTTGTTGGAACAGAGGCAAAGTCTTTGTTAAGCGGAGGCTTTCATGTAGCAGTGCTAAAAGTGTCAGCTGATGATGATGACAGAAAGAAGACCTCACTGGCTACTCATCATAAGGCTAAGTCAACCCCGGGGAAATATTTTTTTAAGTACAAATTTAAGTTGGTTTCAATTAGTGGAAGTGAGAAGTCGATGTATTCTTTACATTGGTTGTCCTATGAAGATACTGCTGGCTACTGTGGTGGAATCACTGGACTGGCAAGCCCGAGGTTGATGGTTCGATTTACCGACTTGAAATCTGAACAAAAATAGTTTTTAAAATGTTTAAATACATAGGCTTTCGCAACCACTATCATCCATAATATAGGTTTATTTGGGTCGGATGTGTAAATATTAATGCGTCGTTAAACCCACCACCACCCGACACAGCCAATTAGTAATGTTTGTCACGTAAACAGAACATGCCATTTAGTTACTAGTACAGTACACCGGTGTGTTGGAGAGCAAATCCACAACATTTACAATCTCAGTAAGACGTTTCGCCAGTGGTGAAGCTAGTTGTAATTACTGACAAAAC